AAAAACTAATTTTTTGTCATATATAAATTTAATGTAAAAAAAGATGATCTCCTTACAATTGGTGTAGCTAAGAAAAAGAAAACTTGGTTTACTCTAAATTTGATTGAAGACATGAGTCGAGGTGATCTTCTGTTTGCATGGGATTGACACAATTTTGCTATGGAGTTATCAGATAGTTCGACTTATGGAGTCATCTACACTTATTCACCAATAGTGTATTGACACGTGTCCTATAATAAATACAATTTATACAAGTGTCAATAAATTAAGTGGTTGATGACTGCAAAAAACCATCCGATGGCTCTATAGAATTTTTGTGAATTGGCATCAGCTTTTTATTTAGGGAACGTATTTTATTTAAATTTTTAGAGACTTTAGTTTTCATATGTTAATTGGAACTTTCTGAAATTCTTAAAGTTTAATGTATTCAACTAAGACTTTTTATAAATCTCTAAAAGTCTCAAGGTATATAATTAAAAATAGTACATAGCTCGTGCGATGAATGAGACACATATATTAAATGAGTAATTTATATAAGGTTTGTACGTTTAAGAAAAACAATAGGATTGGATCTTCAATTTTCTACTTCTTTCAATCAGTGATGTTTATTTTAAGGACAATCCTACATGTACAATTGTAGTTTACAAATAGCTTTTTCCTTATTTTAAACATATCGTAACATGTTAATTAACATATTATTCAGCTAACACGTTACACTAATATAAATTTGATTTTACAATATATATTTATTCGTCGATATAAGAAAATAAAAGTAAAAGTTATACTTATTTTGTTCACCATATAATACTCAATTATTATTGTATTATACTATTTGTTGTCATATAATGTCATTATTATTTATATATATATATATATATATATAAAAGTTATAGAAGTAGTCTTCTTCTTCTTAGTTTATGTAATAAAATTTAAAATAAATTTTGTGTATAAATATTTACAAAATACACATATGTTTTTCAGAATTTCATTTTCTCATAATAATTAAACATTTTGATTTAGTAAATTTCCAAATAATAAACCCTACATAATTAAGAGATTTTCTAATTTGCATCCTAAGGCTTTATTAATTTATTTTTTTTATAATAAATATATTATGGAAAAAATAAAAATAAAAAAATGATAAAATTATCATGATTGACAATAATATACAAATAAGTCACATGTTGAAATTGTAAAGAATAATTAATATATTTTAATTTTATTATTTAGCCATTAGTAAAATTATTTAATGATGTGATCATTATATCTTAAATGGTAAATTATTTTAATTTTAAAAATTATTATTTTTTATATAATTAAATAAAGGTTAAAAATATTATCAAAAAATATTAATTCTCCAACTTGATTTCACCTAATTAGTTAGAAGGAGAAAATTATTTAACATGTTAAGATTGTTTATAAATATTTTACGATGAAAGTCAACATTTGTGAGAAAAAATTAATAACATAGTTAAGACTTAAAATTTGCTTTCATGTTTGTGTTGACCAAAATATTAAATAAAAAAATAAATCAACAATTAGATAAATACATCTTGATTTGGCTGATTATAAAATGTCATTGTAGCAAAGATGAGAGTAACACATGTTTGAGCTTGTGCTCGTTTAACAAACAAATATAAGGTCCTGCTCGAGTTCGACTTGGCCTCGATGAAGCTCGTGAAAGCTCGAATTGACTTGTACGTTTAATAAACCTAATTGCCGTGTTCGTATAATAAAGTCAAAACCCTAAACAAGTTCTCAGATAGCTCGGTTCAAATAACAATTGTAGGGTTGATTCATAATTTTTTTAGATGGTTAATCTACAAAATCTTTTTTTCTTTATTATTGTTGAATAGCTAATGCTCTTACTATCATAACCCATTTCGGTTTAAAATTTTTCTTTAAAGAAAAACTAGTTTGACTTTATATATATTAGTTGTTGTGCAACATTCATGAACATTTCATTCAAATATGATAGCTATAACTACAGATATATATGTCTTAATAAGTTTCAAAAAGTCATGAAAGTCTTAAAAAGTCTTAAATAAGAATTCTCTGAAAATCTCAAATATCCACAAAAGTCATGAAAATTTTATAAAATCCACAAAAATCACCCCATTTAAAAATTCCTTAAAATCTCAATTGAGTACCCTCTTAATTTGGTCTGTATCATAGAGTTAATCCATTTATTATTGTTGTAAAGATAAATATAATTTATATGTTTTATACATACAATATGGATGTTAAATCGAAACTCGTCAAGATATGATTAATTTGATATATTATATATGTAAAACTGATAAAAATTATAAAGTTATTAACTTTTAAAATACATTTACAATTCCATTTTGCAATTCAACTCATGAATTTAATCAAGAAAATGATGTCCCTTTTTTTACACAAATCTTTTATTGGGGGCGACTACTTACTCTCCCAAAAAAATTACGAAATTAAATTCTCTTTTAATAATTTGAATATGAAGATGATAGCAATCTCCAAAAATTCGCCATCTCTGATTTCAACGTTAGGTGTTTCCGAAGGAATACTTAATGACATTAATTAAATAAATAAGCATATAATTAATATAGCTCAGTCTAATATTAGGATGGCAACATGACCCATTGTACATAGATTGATTTTCAAGTTGCTTGTGCCGTCAGGCGTCAACTAAGAGCAGTCCAATGTGTCGCACATGGATTGCTTTCACGTTTTATGCCAAAAGAATTATTTCAGGATGGATATTTTTTTTTTTTCCTTTTCATTTTCCTTTTTTCGAAAAGAATTAAATGAATTATTTAAGGATGAATATTTTTTTCCTCTCCTTTTTCCTTTTAGGGAAGTAGATGGATAATTTTTTTTTACCTTTCCGTTTTCCTTTTCGCGAAGTAGTAGATGGATATTTTTTTTTTTTTCCTTTTCGATTTCCTTTTTGCGAAAAGATATACTTAAGGACGGATGATTTTGTTGGGAGCTTTTTTTAAGACTTTGTACTGGTATGGCGCAAAAAAAACTCTTTTAAAAAAGGCATTGCCACATCAGCGGCAACGTGTACATATCATATTGTGTGCATGCCATATCAGCGGTGGACATATTAATATATGCCCATTGTGGGCATGTGAGCATTTCTCTTGTATTTTTATTTAAATGAAACAAATGCGCACATAAAAAATTCATAAGGTCAAATTGGCCAATTGACGGAATAGATGGAATGACTAGCGTATTAGCTTGAAACGAGTCCAATGAGTTTGACCGTTAGCCTCGAGGAACCTGAAGAGTGAAGAGTGCACATACGACCCGGAGAACGAAAAAATCACGAATGAAGAGAAAACGAAGTCTCACTACAAGAAATTCTATATTTTGACGAATTTATTTTTCATGAACTAAATTTTGTCATAATTTGTTAGGTAAAAATGACAAATTTTGTTTGTAAATTTATCTTTTCAGGTAGCAAATGTTTGAAGAGTTTATTTGTTGATATAGAGTGATCGTGGTCTTTTAACAATATATAACTATAGTAAACATATGTCATAATAATATAATAATATTTTTTAAGTTCCAAAAATACAATTTCATAATAACTACACATAAATGTCATGTCTATTATGATTAGGGTGTTATTCGAGCAAAGTGGGGTAACTCATAGTCAAGCTTGTACTCGTTTAATAGATAAATAAAAGGCTAAGCTCGATTTGATTTGCTTCATTGAATGTTCGTTGGCGAATAAGTTCAACTCAGTTATTCGTTAAAAAAAATGATAAACTATGTTCGATTCGTTTAATAGACAAGCTCGTTTAGCTGTACGAGATTCCTCATCTAAGAAAAGGAACGACCAGAGCTCAAGTTTTCATGAGCAATATTTGCAAACAATTTGCTTCAAATATTGCTACGAATAACAACTCTATTATTGATTCCCAATTTATTTGTAGAATTTATTGATTTTTTTCTTATTTGGGTTGATTTATAATTTTTCAGGGGATTTATTGGTTTTTTTTTCTTTTTTTTTTTAACTTACACATCTATTGTTGTAAAAATATTTATTTTTTATTCCCTCTTAGTTGTATAGTCGACGCTAGCTATCAGAGCTCATTTTGATTTAATATTTTTTGTCAATATAATTCTAGCTTGTCAAATGAAAATAGNATCTCAATGTAATCGAAACTGACAATTTGCCTCCTCCATTGAAAATCTTAATATGACACAAAAAAGTTTTTAACTCAATTAATGATGATTTTTAAATTAATCTTTAAAATTGATTTAGGGCTTTTAAAGCCCATGGCGAGAGGAACACAATGAGGTATGACCTATCGAATTCTGAAAATTAATACCTCTATAATCGATCCACGAAGATAGTAGGAGCACGTGTATGTGTATAGAAAAATTTCAAGTTAAGTTTTATGATAATCAAGATATCCGATTTTCGATTGGGAATTGTCATTTGAAAGCTAGTAGGACCAATTTTTTAACGCATAAATCTTATGAAAATCCAACGGTCGGATTTTGATTAATAGGATTTTCATAAGATTCACTTCGATAGAAAACCCGTCCTCCAAGGTTTCAAATGACACCTCCCAATCGAAAATCGAATATCTTGATTATCAGAAAACTTGAATTGAAATTTTTTCTATACACACGTGCTCTTGCTATCTTTGTAGATCGATTTTAGAGGTATCAATTTTTAGAAATCGACAAACCATATCTCATTTTGTTCGTCTCACCATGGGCTTTAAAAGCCCTAAATCAATTTTAAAGATTAATTTAAAATTCATCATTAATTGAGTTAAAATCTCTTTTATGCCATAATAGGGTTTTCAATCGAGGAGGCAAATTGTCAGTTTCGATTATATTGGGAGACAAATTGTCAAAAAAAAGAGGTTAAAAAATTTTTCCCAAGTTTTTAATATGTATCTGAATATCTCAAAATATCCACCATACTAAAGTTATCTACCAAAATCACCAACTTTAAAATTTTATTTTTCTAAAGAAAAAGATTAAGAATTTCAGTTAAATACAACCCTTTAATTTACCAAATACAACCATAAGTTGGTAAATACAAGATCCAAATATTACACAATATCCAAATATTTATACATTTACCAGAGCAAATTTGATATGCAAACATTCACATGCATATAAATCTAAAATACATATTTGTAACTAAATACATAATCAACCACATATATTCATGTATTAAACCAGTTGGTAACTGAAAACTTCTACTACGAGACATACTTGTACTCGATACACACTAACCATCATATACCTCCACCTGTCTTCCATTGATTGGCTGACATGGCCTGGCATTGTACTTGCACCTCATGTCTAGAGGAGCCTTCAGTGCCTCCACTTGTTCCTTCGATATTGACCTCGCCTGCACACACAATTAATTAAGCACACACAAGATCACAACTTCACAAGTCTCTTATATTAGATAGGCTCTTTAAATGTATACTTCTATTATGGAATATTACATTATAAATAATACTATGTACAGAACGTGAAAGTTCGCAATAGCAGATTTAAAAAAAGTAAATGAGTCGATTGGTCTAATAAGAGCTCTTTTATTAATTATTACCTTTCCAAGTACAAGATACATGAGATTCTCCGAGCAAGGAGGAACACTTGCTGACCCTATGTATCTGTAGTACTTTCTAGAAGTTTTCCTTAATTCCACGGGATGAAACCCCTCGATTGTGATTGGACTTGCCTCCCAATTTTTAGCCTCGTAAACCAGATCATTCATTTTGTTGTTTATCTGATCAATTGAGATGGTTATAACAAGGAAGATTGATTTTGTTGTTTTTTCATTTTCTTCTATATTTTTTTTATAGTTTTCGAGAATGCTGAAGTTCAATTTACCTGTCCAAGAAGTGGATCGGGTTTTCCATAATTGAACAGGGTCGCCACAACCGACACATTACCGTCCTCAGAAATGTGCACCATGTGAAGCTCCGCAGCGAATCTTCGGATTTAATTTAAGTAAATTACGATTTATGGCTTCAAAGTCTATTGTGTCTTTAGGAGAGAGTGAGTAATACCTTTTTCCATTGATTCTATGCTCAGAAGGAGAATGCCAGTGCATTTGCTTCAATGAATAGTGTTTGTCGTCTACAATTATCTCTCCTGTATGTTCAGGGTACTCAATCTGCACAAAATAAAATAGCAGCTTAATTTCATTAATGATTTTCAAGTCTAACTTATTTACCACAGGCAATCACAGTGAAAATACGGAAATATTGATTTAAACTAGTCATGATTGACTAAAATTTATTGATATACACATATATTTGGGACAATTTATTTTATTATTTGATATCATATAGTATATTTTTTATGTTAATATATTTTGCAGTTTGATAATATAACAAGTAATACTCGACTTTAACGCGACTCAATTATCTAAAAGAAGGACAAATCAAACTACACATATTCAACTCGACTAAAATCCCATTTGTTCTCAATCCAACTAATATTCCAACCAATCTGCCAAAACAGACCACAACTACTCTTAAATTGACGGCTGTAATTGAACAACAGCGTGAAGTAGCTAAAACCTTAAACACAGACAAATAACAAAGCTCCTTATCAAGTTATTAACAAAGACAAAAAAAGATTTTGTACCGCAACAGTGAATTTATTGTTGACCAAAGTAACATTCACTGCATTGTACTCCCTGACCAGAGGCTTCAACGTCTTACTCTGTACAGCTCCACGGGTAATAATATCGACTGGCGACTGAGATTTTCCAGTTGCACAGAGAGAGAAGCTCGGGCTCAGGCTGGCCCACTGGTTCGGGCCTTTGGGCCCGGAATATGTGAACTGGAGAGGCTTATCAACTTCTGTAAATGAAAAGGTAAGAAAAGTCGAAACCCACTTGTTTACTACAAAAGGGTGCTGGTTAATGTTTTCTCAATTAAAAACTTGATTCAATAACAAGAAAAGAAGAAATAAGAACCGTACTCGAAACTGTAGAAGCTTGTGAGCTGGCAATCAAGAGGAAGAATGCAGCAAGGACGAAGGCCGTTGTCATTTGAGTCACTGCCATGAAAGATTAACATGAAAATGGAGAAATTATTGTAGTATACTGTTTTTGGTTGATATTTTCATTGATATATGCTCATTATTGGATGGGCCTGTCACCTAAAACCCCACCATCACTATATAATCTTTGGAGTTATGGAGATAAGTTAATTTATATTTCCATCCCTTTTTATTGGTCAGGATTTTGTCTACTAATGGTTGTCTCAGGTTGGGTTCAAGATTCCCAGGCCGCCATTAGTGACTCTTGCTCAACTCTTATCAACTGAACACAAATATATCATCTCCCTTTCTTTAGATATACTAGTAAAGTGCACGTGCGGAACATATGGTGATGATGTTTTCAGCCGATAAAGTTTTATAAGATAAATTAGTTAATTTATTAAACATATCATTCAGAAACAAAATATAGTGTAGAACAAATGCGATTCTAATATATTCTTTTTTTTCCAAAGTAATATTGTCCTAATACAAGAAAGAATGAAATAACATATTACAATCCGAACAAAAAATCTATATCTATATATAGATATATTATATTGTATGGATGTTAAATGAGAATTTTGTGAAAAAATGATAACAAATAGAAAAACATTAACTTTTAACGGCTCTATTAAAGCGATTGGCTGACTCCCATTAAAAAAAAAAATCCTAAAGCTCAATAAAGAATAATGGCTTACGTTTTGAGTACTTATTTTTCTGGAAATATATAAGGACTAAGAGTAAATAAATAAGTTTTTAATCCAATTTGTAGATTATTATAAATAAAAGGACAATTTCAACAATATTTACAGGAGTGCATAAGTCATGCAAATCAAATCACGAGTTGAAGGCGTGATTAAATAAATAAATGATGGCTTAGTTTTGAAAACTTAATCAAATTACTTATGAAAAACAAAAACAAAAACAAAAAATAATAAAAATACAACACGCGTGACGAATAATGAATTGTTAAAGCTGATTGATCAAATGCATTTCATGTCCTCCCTCTATAAAACCAGATGCAATTAAATCCTCACCTTATTCCTACAACACAAAATATTTATTTACACACACATATATATATATATATATATGTATAGGGTGGGTTCAAGTGAAAATGATGCTTAATAAAAGAAATAAGAATACATCTTAGCCATACAATCCGAACATCCAACGGTAATAAATAATCTAAATATTTACACTTATTAAAGGCTTATTAAGAGCATATTGGACATTTGCCTAGTCACAAACCAATCACCCACCTATCCCACACAGACCTGTGGGTCCCGCCCTACCAAATCTCCACCTTCCTCTTCCAATCTCTCCCTCCCTCTCGTACATACCTCATCCCCGATCTCAGAAAATTGCCGCCGCTGCCTCTAAACCCGCCGCCGTCGACGCCTCCTCCGCTAAACACGCCGATTCCGTTGAACATCCCGCCGTTGCCGCCCTGTTTCTGAGATTTCCGTCGCTGCCCGTTTTCCGAGATTCCCGCCGCCCGTTTTCTGAGATTTTCGCCGCCACTAAACCCCAAGTCGTCGCTGCCCTCGTTTCTTATCTATCGCGCAAGTCCTGCCCTCTTCATCATCACCCAAGCCCGCTCGAGCAGAGGTGGCGTCGCATGGTGGAGACTCACCAAGAGCTCGACGACCATCACGTCGTCTGAAGTGGTGCGACCACTTTCCGTCGGCGCCACCCATGGCCGCCGTCCAAATCCCGTCCACCGTTACCATCATCTTTCTCCTCAGCCGCCACGCAAAATCCGCCTTCAAACACTCCCGCTGCCGCCGCCATCCAAATCTCACTCGATGATGTCCGGCGAGGCGGCTATCTCGGCCCTCCCAGCCGCCGTACTCGCCCCTCCCGCTGCCGTCTCCACCCATCCCGACGCCGGCGCTGTCAACCTTGCCGGAGAAAGGAAAACAGCTGCACAGGATTAGGGATTTGGAAATTGGCTTGAAATTAGAATAGGACTATTTTTTGTAAATTAAATATAATCAAGGGACTTATCTGTAAATTAAGAAATTTTAGATATATTATAATTTAGTTCTTGGGTTAAATTTATAAATTAATAAAATTCGATAGTTGCACATTTATATTCAGTGCGTTGCACCATATCGCCTTAGGAATTGCACATTAAAAATATCAGTATACTGCACCATATTGTTATACAAACTGCACTTTAGTGCATGTAATATTGCACTTTATCGCAGACAGTGCATTTGTGCAATGACTAAAATATCCCCGCGTGATAATATCAAAAGTTCACTTAAAAGCCACCGCATGTTTGATTAAATCTAGACCCTTTGACCGTGTCTTGAGAGTTGATGTATCGAATCCAAGGTATGCGATTTATATTTTTTAAAATATAAATTATATTTTTTTAACCAGAAACTAATCTAAAAATATATAAAACATATAATACTAAATATACTTTTATAATAATAAATAATAAAATATTTTAATTATTCAAGTTAATTCGATGTACAATTATATCTATTAAAACTAGTTTCCGAATACACATAATTAGTTGAGATTGTATAAAGTAATGCACTTCATACAATAACATATTGCACTTTATAAGCACCACGTTGCACTTTATAAAACAAAACGTTGCACTGTATAAAAAACGAGCTACATTTTATCACCACATTCCACAATTAACGTCAATAGATCCCGCTAAAAATACTACACGACATAAATCTACTTTTAACATCCACCACATCATCTGTCCAATAAAAATACAAGTATGCTAACATACCAAAATTACAGTAGTGCACTTTATATATCAACACGTTGCACTTTATAAAACAAGACATTGCACGATATAGAATGATACGCTGCACTTTATCACAACTATCATATCGCACAAATAGTGAACGAAACCGGCCAAACTAAATTTTTTTCCAACCAAAAATAATATAAAAATGATAAATAAACTTATTAACTTATTAAATATAATTTAACTGAAATAGTAAAATATTTCTCCAACAATAACGATAAATTCCGAACAAGCCAAAAATATCGATTAAAAAATTTGTATTTCAAATCGATTATTCTGCTTTACTTTTAAAATCACAGTTATTTCAGTTCGACGTCGACTTTGTTTGTTAAAATAGACAAACAAACCGAATCAACTGAATTGTATGAAAAATATTATTATTTTTTCTTTTTTGTATTTTTTTTTTCTGTATTGTCAGTGCACATTAGAGTTACACGAATTACACTTTAATGGCTATTGAGTTGCACAATATCAGCCGAATCATTGCACAACAGTGTTAGATGAATTGCATATTAATGATTCCCGGACTGCATATTATTGACTAAAATTGACAGGCCTAAAACAAGAGTCGGAACACAATTCAATTGTCCTTGAAAACAAGGACAAACGTCCCAAAAGCAGCAACAAAAATAGTCGTCCAATTGTCAAACAACAATAAAACAGCTCCTAAAACAACCCAAACAACAATAGAACATAAATAAAAAAAGCCTCCAAAAGAACCCAAAAGCAACCAAAGTTTTATCCCACAAACAGCATAAAAAAACCTTCAAACCGGCCCTGAAATGAACCTAAAAGCATTGTTCACAGCCCGTGACCTCCAACCATGTGCCCGGCCGGTACCTCCATAGCTCGAATGAGGCACTTGTACTCAATCATCTCACCAGCAACTTCATCTTATTTCTTTTCACCTTCGACTTGTCAGATGCTGGAACCTAGAGCCAATGGAGCAACCAAATTTTAGTCAATTTTTAATATCACACGACATCAAGTGCAAACATTGTCTATAAATAAGCATCTGATCAAACATGAATCAGGAAAATAAATACAATTAGGGAAGAAACTAACAATGTTTTAAAGTAACCCACTCAGAACCCTTCTCTCTGGTCCGTTCGAACATGTTGGTGAGCTCATTAAGGAAAGGATCAGGCTGTAAACATATCTACACTAAATAACTACAAATTAGCAGAATTTCAACACCAAAACATAACTTTAAGTCTGGACAGTTTCTTAGCTATTTCTCTGTGTAAACAGAAAATGCACATGGGTCATACATATCAATAAATGTGCAGGAACATGATCATCCAAAGCAAAAAATGCATTAATCGATCCTTGATATTTTTTTTCAGATCAATGACGCTTACATCAAGATTGTGAAACTGAGAGCTAATATTTTCACTAAATGCACAACTCTATGCATGAAAATCATCAGAATCGCATTCAAGAGCAAGCCCATCAGAGAAATCAACCAAAATTAAATCAAAAAATTATCATTTTTTTACAGCAACAGAAGTAGGAAAATCACAGCCCTAATGAAGCAGGATGTCAACAATTTGGAACCCACAACTGTGCAGCTCAAATCAACGACAGATCAAAGATCAATTAACAGAAAAAAATAAAATAAAATAACCACGAGGTAAAAGAAGAAAGTGAGCAATTGATTGAGAGCTTGAATCGGCACAATCGAGAGCCCAACAAATGCCCTTTTGTGAAGAAATGTGGTTTCTGAGTTTAGAGTCACAAAATCTCCATTGAAATGCCAATAAGACACACTCTCAACACTGATTTTTCTTCTCTTTTCCCAATCTTTCACTATTCAAATTAAGACCATAACTACACTGAGCAAAAATTGTCCAAAGCCCCTTCAAACATATCTCAAAACCACACCCGATTGATTCACAAATCAGTTCTATTGAATGAAGTTCTAAATCACAAATCGAGGAAGATCAAATGCCAACATAAACACAGATCGAGATAATCAGTAATCACTACACTTCAAAAAAAAAAAAAAAAAATCAGCTACCAAGTAATTAGAGAGGAAAAAATTTCACAGTAGCAGTCGGAGTCTTCTAGCCCTCCACTCGTCGGAAATTACAAAAATCCGGTGAGACCCATAGATAAGATTAATGTGTAGACTGGACTTCAGACGTGCCTGTGACTTTTTATTAACGTCTTCCAAATTACGAAATCCAAAAATGAAGAGAGGATTAATATCGGCGGCTGTCCAACGGCGGCAGAATGATGAGTGTGTGTGTGTGTGATGTGTGTGTGGGTGCGTGTGTGAATTTGATCATGTATGTGTGAGGGAAAGAAAGTGGGAAAGTGATGGACTGGTAGGTGATTGTGGTGGGAAAGTGATGGGCTGGCGGTGGCGAGACTGGCGGACGGCAGACGGCAGTCGACAGGCAGCGACGGGAGTGCCGAGGTTGTGTAGACGGGCGGTGGTTGGTGGCGGCGGACGGGGATCTGCTGCTGGAGGTGGTGGCGGATCTCCTCAGTGTGTGTATCGAATTTGTGCGTGCACAGAGAGAGAGAGAGAGAGAGAGATATAGATCTACTACATGAATGTGTGTGTGAGAGAAAGATAATTTAGGGTTGGTGTTTTGTGGTGGTGATGAGAACCGACAAACTGGGAAAAGTCTCACGAGGAAAACAGACCAACAGAGAATGGCCCAGCCCAGGTTGCCACACCGCGAAGCATCATCTCCCTCACACCGTGAAGATCTGCCGCGCAGTGGCGACTCCGTTTCCCCCACGCCGTGACGTTCGTAACAGGCCATCACAGACTTGAATAGACGCAGCCTCCGCGCCGTGGAGACTGTCGCGCCGCGACACCTGCGGAAAGAGGATGGTTATGGGGCGGATTGCAACAGTTTTTCATCAGTTTTCTTAATTTTATATTATTTTTTATTTTCTTTTCTTTTGGAAACCGTATATGGATAGGTAGGAGAGTATTAATAGAACTCTTGTATTAGGTTGAATATCATCTTTAAGCAATAACATAAATAGAAAAAGCTCGTCTTTGAGCGCAAATTTTCGTGTTAAACCGACGCCGTAGTGCGGGTTTTTACATTTATCATGTTCGAACCTAGGCCCTTAGCGCGAGTTCTTACACAAAATCGAGTCCCGATACACGATCTTCATCATTGGTGCTTTCATTGAGAGTGATCGATCGTGTATCTTTCTTATCTTTTTCTTTTTTTTTTCTCTTTTGATTTTTTCTTGAGCATTTAGCGTGAGAGGCTGAGAGTAGGGAAAAAAAAATGTTTTTCTTTTGAACTTCTGGGAGGGGCGTGAGAAGACAAAATATATATTTTTTTTGTTTGATTTTGTGCTTGAGTTGTTGTTGAATCTGTTGGGAAAAATACGCTGAATTTTTTCATGAAGTCGGATCTATAAAAGTGAAATAAAAAACAATAAAAATTGGACACACCAAATTGATAACGGAGTTCGACCAATAATGCCTACGCCTCCGGACTACTGCAGATATTTTATTAGGAAGAAAAAAAAATACACTCGTGTTTACAAAACACTCTCGAAATTATTCACAAATCACAACTCAAATACACACAGAAGCTAAAACTTTTGCTTCCTGCTCCCTTTCTTTTTCTCTCTTTCTCTCTTGTGTTGGTGTGATTTAAGTGCATCAGAATCCCCTCTATTTATAGAGGGGCAGTGTACATTTTTTTCAACATAAGGATGCTTCCTTTAAAAAAAATATCAGCCGAATGGTGCTATAATGTGGCTGCCACATTTTGTCAAAGTTGGTGGCTTTCAAAGAAAGGGCTGGGCTGCTGCATGTGGTTTGTCAACAATTGCGGATTAATAATCTCCCACTTGAGGACTGATTTCAATCTGTCCTCACACCTCAATTTCTGCAGTAGTCTTCTCAGGTCTGTTATCCTAGCAGGCCAACTGAAGTTGAGCACAACTTCAGTTTGTCAATGGTCACCACCTTCGTTAGCATATCTGCTGGGTTCTTGCTTCCTACAATCTTATTCAATGTCAACACTTCATCCTCAAGCAGAGATCTGATGAAATGATAACGTATATCAATGTGCTTTGTTCTGGAGTGAAACACTGAGTTCTTTGCCAGATGTATTGCACTCTGACTGTCACTGTGCAAGATACTCTCTTTTTGAGTGAAACCCAACTCTGCTAACAATCCTTGAAGCCATATCAATTCTTTACTGGCTTCTGTCACTGCTACATACTCAGCCTCTGTAGTGGATAGAGCAACAATCTTTTGTATCCGCAACATCCAACTAACAGCTGTAGCTCCGACAGTAAAAACATAACCAGTGGTGCTTCTTCGGTGATCAACTTCTCCTCCAAAGTCCGCATCTACGTAGCCCTGTAACTTTAGATCTCCTTTTCTAAAGTACATACATTTTTCTGTTGTGCCACGTAGATATCTCAAGATCCATTTGACTGCTTCCCAATGAACTTTTCTTGGATTTGACATAAACCTGCTAACAACTCCCATTGCATGACCAATGTCTGGCCTCGTACAGACCATCGCGTACATCAAACTTCCAATGGCTGAAGCATAAGGAATCTTAGCCATAAACTCTTCTTCTTCTTTTGTTTGAGGAGACTGATCCTTGGATAGACGAAAATGACTGGCCAAAGGTGTACTGACTGGTTTGGCCTTGTCCATGTTAAATCTTTGCAAAACACGGTTGATGTACTCTTCCTGAGGTAACTGCAAAACTCCCTTTTTGCTTATCTCTCGCGATTTGCATTCCAAGAATCTTCTTTGCTGGGCCTAAGTCCTTCATGTCAAATTCTTTTGACAACTGCATCTTCAAATTTCTGATGTCTTTCATATTTGATCCTGCTACTAACATGTCATCAACATAAAGTAGCAAGATGATATAGCTGGACTCATACTTTTTAAAGAAACAACAGTGATCAGCATTGCACTTCTGGAAACCTTCCTTGTGCATGAAGCTTTCAAACTTCCTATACCACTGTCTTGGAGCTTGTTTCAGGCCGTACAAGCTCTTCTTCAATTTGCACACCATATGCTTCTTTCCTTCTGAAAAACCTTCAGGCTGGTGCATATAGATCTCCTCATCTAGGTCTCCGTGAAGAAATGCAGTCTTCACGTCTAATTGCTCTAGATAGAGCTCTTCACTAGCCACAATACTTAACACAGTTCTTATAGTATTGAGCTTTACAACTGGAGCAAAGATTTCAGTGTAGTCAACTCCTTCTTTCTGCTGAAATCCTTTGACAACCAGTCGGTCTTTGTATCTCCTGGAACCATCATGGTCTTCCTTCACTCGATACACCCATTTGTTGTGAAGTGCTTTCTTTCCCATAGGTAACTTGACTAGTTCCCATGTCTGATTTGAGATCAAGGACTTCATCTCGTCCTTCATGGCAAGCTCTCACTTGCTAGCATCTGTGGTTTGACAAGCTTCCATGTAATTTTCAGGTTCTCCTCCATCAGTCAACAACATGTAGTCCATGTATCTCCTGTTAGGCACATGGGGCCGAGAGGACCTTCTCAATACAGGAGCTGGAGTAGGAGGTTCTGATTGCACATCACTTTCTTCATTTGATTCCTCTGACTGAGGACTCCTCATTATAGGACTATCTGGGATATCTCCCACATCTGCATAAACTGGCCCACTCGTTTCTGAGTTGCTGGCACCTGTATTATGCCGGTCCTTGTACATCACTCTTTCATTAAAGATGACATCTCTGCTGCGGATCATCTTTTTGTTTTCATCATCCCATATGCGGTAGCCAAACTCATCTTCACCATAACAAAGGAAGGTACACTTCTTTGATTTTGGATCAAGTTTGTTTCTACCTTGATCACTGATGTGCACATATGCTACACACCCGAAAACTCTAAGATGTGAGAGTTTTACTTCTTTTCCGCTCCATACCTCTTCTGGTAACTTGTGATCCAATGGTACCGATGGACTTCGGTTGATCAAATAAGTTGTCGTGTTGACTGCTTCTGCCCAGAACTGCTTTGGTAGGCCTGACTGCACACGCAAGCTTCTAGCTCTTTCAGTCAACGTTCGATTCATACGCTCAGCTACACCATTGTGTTGAGGCGTACCAGGCACGGTTCTCTCCATTCTGATCCTGTGCTCATAACAAAACTTCTTGAATCTGGTGGTTACATATTCACCACCATTGTCGGATCTGAGCTTCTTGATCTTCAAGCATGTCTGATTTTCCACCATAGTTTTCCAAATCTTGAAAGCTTCAAATACTTCTGACTTGTGTTTCAGAAAGTAAACCCATACTTTCTGGAGTGATCATCGATAAAAGTCATGAAGTATTGCTTCCCACCAACGGATGGGACAGTCGTTGGACCCCAAACATAAGAGTGGATGAGCTGACTCTCTTCTACTTGTCTGAAAGCTGACTCTCTTCTGCTTTCCAAGTATACAACCTTCACACATGTCAATTTCTATTGACTGGAGGCCTGGTAATTTTCCTTTTGAGTGAATGATCTTCATCCCTTTTTCACTCATATGCCCAAGTCTTTGGTGCCATAGATTGGGATTTTCATTTGCTGCAACTGCAATTAAATGACATGCTCCAGTGGTTTTGTAAAGAGTACCACTCTTTTTGCCTCGAGCAATTGTCATCGCACCCTTTGAAATCTTCCAATCGTCTCCGTGGAAGATTGTCGTGTAGCCTTCACTGGCTAGCTGTCCCACCGAGATTAAATTCTTCGTCAGGTCGGGAATATGTCTAACATTTTTTAATTTCCATACAGACCCGTTCAACTTGATTTTTATTGCACCTTTGCCTACAACCTCACATGATTGCTCATTACCAAGGTAAACTTTACCAAGATTTCCAGGAACATAATTTTCAAATAGTTCCTTCTGTAAGGTGGCATGAAAAGATGCTCCCGAGTCTAACACCCAAGACTCCTCTTTGTTCTCCAAAGAACATATCAGCATATCTCCTCCTGAGATTGAAGCAACATTTGCCTCTTCTTTTTCCTCCTGGTTCTTTGGTGCACTCCTGCACTAGTTTTTGTAGTGCTCGGTCTTCCCACAATTCCAGTACTCGATCGACTTCGAGTTTTGGGAACTACGATTATTTCTGGACTTGGATCTTCTTCCTTTTGATTTGTTGTGTTTGCTTTCTTTGGTTGAACTTCTTCCTCTTGACTCTGTATGCAATACAGAAGAGGTCGATGGTTCACCCGACTCTCTCCGCCGGATCTCTTCACTGAGAACCAAATTTTGGACATCATCAAATCTCAACTTATTGCTTCCCGATGAGCTACTCACAGCCGTGACTGTAGCATTCCAGCTTTCTGGTAGGGAAGACAAAAGTATTAAAGCTCGTACTTCATCATCGAACTCGATCTCAACTGAACTCAACTGGGTTGTGACGGTGTTGAGCTCATTGAGATGATGTGCCACCGAAGCACCTTCGATCATCCGCAGGTTGAACAATCGCCTCATCAGATGAACTTTATTTGAGGCTGATGGTTTCTCGTACATGTTGGAAAGAGCCTTCATGAGGCCTGCTGTCGTCTTTTCTTTTGCAATGTTAAAAGCAACATTACGGGATAACGTCAGCCGAATGGCTCCAAGAGCTTGTCTGTCAAGGAGACTCCATTCTTCCTCCTTCATGTCCACTGGCTTCTTTCCTGTGAGTGGTTGATACATATTCTTTTGGTACAGATAATCCTCTATCTGCATCGTCCAAAAGCCAAAGTCCGCACCATCGAACTTTTCAATTTTTATTTTTCCTTCGTCTGTAGTCATCACTTCGACTCTGATCTGACTTCTCTGTCGGATCGTTTCTGTAATTTTTGTGAACTACCGTGTTTCAGAACACGTAGGTAGAATTTTGTAGCGCCGACAAAATTGGCACTATTTACGTTTTTCAACAGAATAGTAACACCACACAAAAAAATAGAGAATTAACAATCTAGCTCTGATACCAGTTGTTGGAAAAAATACGCTGAATTTTCCAGGAAGTCGGATCTATAAAAGTGAAATGAAAAAAAATAAAAATTGGACACACCAAATTGATAACAGAGTTCGGCCAATAATGCCTACGTCTCCGGACTACTGCAGATATTTTATTAGGAAGAAAAAATAAATACACTCGTGTTTACAAAACACTCTCGAAACCACTCACAACTCACAACTCAAATACACACATAAGCTAAAACTTTTACTTCCTGCTCCCTTTCTTTTTCTCTCTTTCTCTCTTGTGTTGGTGTGATTTAAGTGCATCAGAATCCCCTCTATTTATAAAGGGAAAGTGTACATTTTTTTCAACATAAGGATGCTTCCTTTACAAAAAAATCAGCCGAATGGTGCTATAATGTGGCTGCCACATTTTGTCAAAGTTGGTGGCTTTCAAAGAAAGGGCTGGGCTGCTGCATGTGGTTTGTCAACAATTGCGGATTAATAGAATCCCAAAAAATATTAAAATAAAATAAAAATTCTGTTTGATTTTGAATTTTTGAGAGTCTTATCGTGAGGAAAAAAAAAATGTACGTGCTGAAGGGATTTAGCCTAGGGGTGCAAGGTGTTGGGTTTTATTCCCCTTGTTTTCTTGGGTTAGTCGTAGGTTAAAAAAAATAAAAAAAAATATTTGTGGTGTTTTTGTCGAGAATCTTTTCAACGGTAGAAGTGTATCTTGGGTAGAATTAGTTTGTGCAGGTGGAGTGTGTAGAGATTTTCGTGGGGCTGAGTT